AGCAAGAGCATCGGCCAGATCTAGCAACATTGAGGGCCGAGATCAATGCGTATCTGGTAAGCCACCCGACGGTAAGGGACAGCAGAGACTTTGGACCACTGAGAATGTCGAACCTCGAACAAGTGCTGGGAATTGGAGATACGTTTGCAAGAAAGAGGAGGAAACCGATCGCAGGAAAGCAACCCCGTAAAAGGCAAAAGGGAGACGAAGAGAATAGTGAAGAGTAGCTCAAAGCCGTTGAATGCGAGTTTCGCTTTGGAAGACTCTGTCGTCCGGTGGGACTAAGCTGTCTTTCGCAAGCGATCGTGGAGTGTTTTCGATAGCGCTTTGTCCGCTGTCCCTTTGCCTGCGCTTCCTAGCCCCTCCGTTTGGCCTGTCATTGTTACTGCTTTCCGGTTTTGCATGCATGTTCGAATCGATCACTGGCTAGATGTACTCAAGTGCCTGCGACAAGCGCTTCTTCATGTCCGTGTTCGCCTTCGTTCTCGTCTTCGTCCTTGATTTGGTGTTGGTTTTTGCCGTGGTCCGAGTCTGCTTGTGTGATCGACTTCAGCAAGCTGCTTACAACCCGTGGGCATCGCGCAGCTGCTGGTGTGTAGGACGTGTAGGATATGGGGCTCGAATCGGTAGGTCATGGCCTGTCAGACGGTCGGGATAGGTTCTCGGATCGTGTTGTTTAACGGTATTGCTTCTGTGCTATCACGCAGTGATATCATCTGTTCTCTAGTTTAATCTTCGGGTCAGAATCTAGCAGAAATGCGATATGCTCCAACATACCTCTCGCATATTCGATGCTGTTCGCCTTTCTGCATCGACCGACATTCCAGCAAAAGTATCTGCCATGACCTTAACACGCGCTTACCATCGTGAATCGCTCACATCAAGTACGTGGTCAATTGTAGCTGCACATAGCTTTCGAGATCGTCAAATAATCCGAGTCTATTGCTGCAAGAGAAACCACGCGGACACGAACTTACATGGCTGCGAAGGCCACGAACTATCTATGGGAGAATGAGGACGCGTTTTTGTGCTAGTTGAGGGCCGTACTTGAAGTGACGATGCTCGGGCGTGTCCGTCTTGGATTGTGACATCAGGGCAAGACGCGGTGGAACGTGCACGCTTATCTTATCGGACAGTGGTGGTGGAGTACTACCAAGCCACTAGGTACGAATACCGCAACAAACAAACACCTCTGCATATTCAAGGACATTGACAGAAAACGCGAAACGGTTGTTATGCAGTGATTCTTTTCCTCAACCACTACTGGCCACAATTTTCGACCATACTTAGGTAGCGCTTCACTTTGTCATTGCACCTGATCTCTTACTTCGTTGACCATCGCTTTACCTCACAACTTGAAGCTGTTCTGCACCAGCTTCTCACTCAACGTCCACAGTCGCTCGGCCAACTTCGGATCAGTCGCGTATGGCATCGCATCACACATTTGACAGTCAGACAGCATGATACCCTTTGATTCTAGTACGTTGTCAGTGTTGAGTTTTGCGGACTGAACCTTCACTTACCGTCCAATGCTGGGTCTAGCGCCGCAACCAATACCGTCGCAGCACCCTGATCAAGGTTCTTCCAGAACGGACTAACACTTCGGATCGCAGCCTCGCCATCCGCGTCCAGATTTCGACTGAGACCAGTCCAGATTGCTAAGCTCGTCAGCAATTTTGAAACCACGCACTCAAAAGGCTTGCGCAGCGAGTTACTCACATCCGGGATGCACAGCATAACTTCTCACACCCTTTACTTTGTACTTCTCGTTTAAACCCACTGAAAACAGCATGTTCGCCGTCTTCGCCTGTCCATAGGCCAGCCACCCGTTGTATCCATCATCTGCGCCCTTCGCAAACTTCGGAGGAAGCTGCACGTGCCTCTCTTCTTCGGGTATCTCGTCTTCGCTCTTCTCCCAGTTGTAATCAGAGAATCGAACAGGGCTCAACCGATGACCAGCAGAAGTGAGGTTGATGACGCGGGTGGTACCTTCATCTGAAGAGGAAGCTGAGGCCAGAAGCTGAGGCATGAGCAGGTTGGTCAAGAGGAAGTGGCCAATATGGTTGGCGCCAAATTGACCTTCGAGGCCTTCTTTGGTAGTTTGACGCGCCGTTGTCATGATACCAGCATTGTTGATGATCAGATCCAAGCGGCTCGTCAATTGTGACACTTCTTTTGCAGCAGTCTTGACAGATTCTTGAGACATCAAGTCAAGAAGGACTACTTTGACTAAGACGTCTGGATAGACATCCTGGATGCTCTTTACGACCTCTTCTAGTTTGGACTTGGTGCGTGAGGCGAAAACGAGGAGCGCTGGATTTTGGGAGGCGACCGAGAGGGCTATGGACGAGCCGATGCTTTCAGGGGATACACCGGTGATGAGTACTTTTTTAGGTCAACATCAGCTTTCAACAGCGTAAGCACATGGACGTCCTACCATTCTTGCCATGAATTTGCTTGGCGAAAGCTTTCGCGACTTCAAGACCGCCCGTCTTCTCGTCCCATTCAGAATGTGTCAGGGTCGACATTTTAGCTCTTGATATATACAAGAAGTAACAGTCTGAGTCTCAGAATCTTATCAAGGGGAGTGCGTAAGTCTCGCTCTCGCTCTCCCTGGGACTGAGCTCGTCCACCACAGCGACTGCCATCCGTAAGCATCGAGACTGCACGCGCATTTCCTGCTGTTTCCACAGCATCTGTGTCACATTCGGGACAGAATGCACTGGAAATGGACAAGTGCAGTTGGGGTGAAAGTTGCGGGGTAGGTACAAGGCGGGGAAGTTAGCATTATGTGGGGCAGCTACGACCTATACTTCGCGTCCCCAATGACCTCGCATCACGCGTCAACACCCTTTAACCGGCAGATACGCCGATCCACTTCGTCATGATACGACTCCACCCCACGGAGGGGACATGCCGGGAGAGGCGACCAGCACCTGCAGGCCCTCAGCGCCACGACTCGCGCTTGCACCCTCGGTCATCGGCTCCATCTCGCCTGGGTGAAGTTACTGAGAGCGATGGGTACATGGCCATATCATCGGTAGATGCAGGGTTGCCGAGCCCCACGCTCATGAGCAATTACCTGGTCGATGCGTTTGGATACCTGGAACCTTTTCTCGCATCGAATCGCGTTGTGTTACCTTATTCCGCCCAGTCGTGGAGCTTGATTGAAGTCGCGTATGCCACTCCGTGCGCGAATAGACGAGACCAAACTACCCAAGATGTCTTCTCTAGAGACGAACGAGAACGGTCCAGTCACCAATGGCGCAAAACCACAGACTGGCATCAAAGTCATCATTATCGGCGCAGGTACGTCCTTCACAAGAGTCCATGCCACAGCTCCGTTCTAACACGCATCACCAGGTTTCGGCGGCCTCACAGCAGCCATAGAATGCATCCGCCACGGTCACACTCCCGTCATTTACGAATCATTCCCCTCGCTCAAGATCCTCGGCGACATAATAACCTTCGGTCCCAATGCTGGGCGCATCTTCGCGCGTTGGAGTGATGGACGCGTCGCACGCGACATGCGCAAGATCTCGATCGATCTCACCGAATACGGCTTCAACATCCACAAATGGGATACTGGCGAGATTGTCATAAACCAGAAGACACCACCACGCGACGAGAAGGCGCCGAACTTCAACGGGCACCGCGGTGAACTACACGAGATTGTGTTCAACTATGCCAAGGAGATTGGCGTCGAGATCAATTTGGGACAACGAGTGGAGAAATACTGGGAGGATGATAAGGAGGCGGGCATCGTGCTAGAAGATGGCACGCGCGTTGCTGGCGACCTCGTGGTTGCGAGTGACGGTGTTCGAAGTAAGGCGAGAACACTGGTGTTGGGTTACGAAGACAAGCCAAAGAGCAGTGGCTACGCCGTATGGCGAGCTTGGTTCACCAACGAGGACATGATCGCAGACCCGGAGACAAAGCAGTTCTGCGAGAATGGCGATACCTTTAATGGATGGATCGGTAAGCCTTCATCCACCCCGCCGTTGAGACTAATCGCATGCTAACAACTTCATAGGCCCAGACGTACACTTTCTCTTCAGCACTATCAAGAACGGCACTGACTGCTGCTGGGTGCTTACCCACCGTGACGACCACGACATCGACGAATCCTGGTCCTTCCCTGGCTACCTCAAAGACGTCAAGACTGTGTTGGAGGGCTGGGATCCAATGTGCTGGAAGATTGTTTCTAAGACACCGGAAGAGAAACTCGTTGATTGGAAACTTGTCTACCGGGACCCGTTGCCCAACTGGGTTTCAGGGTATGGCTCCGCGCCAGGTCATGGCCGGATATGCTTGCTAGGCGACGCAGCGCATCCCTTCCTTCCAACAAGTGCGCAAGGTGCGACGCAAGCACTCGAAGATGGTGTTACACTCGCCGTGTTGCTACGAAAAGCTGGAAAGGATAACGTACGAGGCGCGTTACGAGCGTACCAGGATATACGTTACGATCGCGTCAAGGCTGTGCAGAAAACGGGTGAGACGACGAGGGACATGTGGCACAAGACGGATTGGGAGAAGGTGAAGAAGGACCCCACGTTGATTCAGTTCCCGAGAGAGGATTGGGTATTCCAACATGATGCTGAGAAGCATGCGGAGCAACTGGGGGATGAGTCGATCAAGAAGGCTAGTGCTGTTGCTGCGTAGATATACCGAGCGGAAACCTCATAAGGATAAGACCAACAAGGTTTTAAAGTTTATTGAAACTGCTTCATGATGTACGTGTGGCAAACGGTATCAGTCTTGCACGATGTCTCGAAAAAGGTGCAGGGGTCATAGGCACGTAAGTCACGTTCAGCATTCCGTCAGTTCGGTAATAACACCGAGACACATCAGCAATGAAGGCGAAGCAGAAGTACCGCGTGGTCAAAGGAGTGAGAAAATCGATTGGTCCTAAGAGCAAAGCTTAACTGTATGTGCGAGCCAGAGGCGTCAAGCGAGGTCTTCTTCCACAAAAAGATACACTCGTTGCTTCAAGTCATAGCTCAGCCACTCTTCTCGGTACCGACAACCTCGTGATGCACAACTTCATCCTTGTCGCTATCGCGCCTTTCGATCTTGTCGTCAACACCAGCCGCAACACGGCCAGTACAGACGTACTTTCTGAACTTGCGCGCCGGAAGCCTAGCTTCAAACATTTCGTCAATCTCTTCGAGAGTGCGGTTCTTGATCTCGGGCAGGTAGAAGTACACCCATGCTGCTGTGATGAAGCAAGATGGTCCCCAGATCCAGCCTACATATGGCGTTAGTATGCTGTTGGGGTAGAGAGCGATGGGTGTGGATATCTTACCATATTCAGGGCCCCAGTTGAGAGAGTCAGGGTTGATGAAGTATGGTGCAGTGAAGGTAGTGAGCCAAGCACCTGCGAAAGCGACTGCCGATGCAATACCAAACGTGTATGAACGCAGGCGCTGCGATGGGATTTCTCCACCAGAAAGCCAGGCGTAAGCAGCGATCATACCGTTGTAACCGACGATGTAAATGACCGAGAGACCGACAATAGCCTTGAATATGTCAGTAAGAGTCTCGCATACTCCACGAAAGAAACATAAACGTACCTTTCCAGTGCTAGTCGTGCCAGGGTTGACGTGATAGACAGCCGCGATGATAAGTTGCGTGACACCACAGATAGAAAGACCAGTCATGAGGAAAACGCGGCGGCGACCGATCTTCGAGATGACACTGCTGTTGATCATGACTACGACGACACCGACGGCGGTCAAGATGCAGGAGTTCATGAAGGGGCTACCGACATTCGCCATCTTTCTCAATGTTAGCCTGGCATACTTTCGACGACGGGAGCGATGCACTGACCTGGAAGAAGTACGTTCCGTATGCAATCACAAACATGGCACCCGACGCAGCCTGAGTCGATACCGCAGCGATAGCCAGCAGCGTGCGCCTACGATCAACAGGATCTTTCCAAATGTCCAGGAAGTTCGCGCTCGACTTCACAGCCTTCTCCGCATCGATGGCTGCTTGGATCTCTGCTACTTCGCCGGGCACGCTTTCGGGGTGCGGACGCATCCACAGGAGCGCCTTCTCGGCTTGCGCTGGCTTTTCGACTAGAATAAGCCAACGTGGCGATTCAGGAATGAAGAACAGGCCAATCGACATGAGAACCGGGACGATGAAGATCATGCCAAGTGGGATGATATACGAGTTCCGACCATTCATGTCGTGTGTTGCGTTGTCGATTACCGTGCCAATGAGCGTACCGACTGAAGTCCAGATCTGGAAAACGGATATCATGAGACCGCGGTATCGAGCCGGTGCTGATTCCTACTTGTATGTCAGTAATGTACCGACGAATGAAAGGTAACACGAACCTGGATGTAAAGCTGCGAAAAGGTCATATACCACCCATTTGCAATCCCAATTAAGAGTCGTCCAGAATACAATCCCGCAATGTTGGTCGTAGTCATCATGACAATGTTCGCAACGCAGCAAAGCGCACTGGCCATCCAGAGACATTGGCGCCTCCCCAGCTTCTTCGCGAAGACACCGGCGAACATTGAGCTGATAAAAGCCCCCAGTGTCATCAAAGACGAGATGAGTTGCTGACGCTCGGGGGAGATATTGTAACCTATAGGCGTCATGGGATCAGGATGGCCAAAGACTTCGAGAAAGCCGCGCATGGCTTGTAAACCGCCGATAGCACCAAAGTCGATGCCGTACTGGAATGGCGACATGGAAACGAGGGTACAAGCCGCGAGGCATTTCCAATTGGAAAGCAGACTGCTTGTTAGATCGGGCATTTTGGTGGATTCCCTCTCCAAAGATGGTGATGAAGAATTTCAAGAGATGCGGCGAGGTTTTGCTCGATGTTGCGAAGTAGGGTTAGCTTCAAGAAGCGATAAACTTTCAACTAGAGAGGCTGGCACCAGCGATCCTTCTGCCTCATAACAGGGCATCCCTTTCATCCAGACTGGCATGCAGATCTTTGTGAATGTGGTCCCACCTGCATTCTTGTCCCAATATATGCCGATAGTGCCTGGAAATGCTTAGCTTGCCCCTACCCCGGAATCCACAGGCAGTCTAAAGTGTGGAGTGCGGAGGTGGCGTTGTACCATGTACAATATCTCAGGTATTAAGGCTGGTACATCCCGTTTCCGCGTGGCGTATGAGACCCATCGTCACGATGCCCGGTAGCTACGTAAGAAGAGTGACAAAACGCCCGGCAGTTTCTGCCGTTTTAGTGCTTGTCTTGCTACCCGCCATCTGTTTGGAATAGCACATGGCTAGGCTGTCGCTTCGAAACTTTATGAAGGTCGCCACCTTAACCTACCTAGAAACATGCGACCTCAGAAAATCAACATCGAATTTACAATCAGGGAAACTCAGGGGAGTTCACAGGCTGTACGGTACTACCGTGCGGTCGGAGCGATAACGCCGTGTGACATTGGCCATGATCGTGAAGTACAGTAAAGATCTGCATGTACTAACTTTCACAGCTGTGCATAGCGAGTCAATAAACTTCATGCCCTCCACTTCGGAATCGGGAAGTGGAGAGACTCATGCCCGCCTGAAGGATCATAGTATTCAAAGCAAGTGTTGCGATCCGCTGATGTGGACAGAAAATGAAGTTGATGGTTGAGAGGCGGGGAAAGTTGACTGCGAAGGTGGTGGGGCACTTTCCAGATAGAACCTTGCAACTCTACGGGCATGCCACCTACGTAGCATTGAATCTGAAGCAGCAAACAGTGTCTAAGACAACGTAGTCTCTAGGCTAGACTGACTTAGGAGTCTCTCAGAGTGCCCTCCTTGACCATCTCCACCACGTTCATGAAGTTATCGTACATGTAGCTACGCCGCTTCTGCCCTTGCTCATTTTCGAAGACCAACTTCCATTTATCCTCCTTCTCAAAACTGTCCCAATTCACTTTTACCCAATCGTGGCAGGATGCATCAGAGTCACAGTGGTTGTTGTTGACATCTTCATGCAGTTCTGCATTGTCGTACTCCAAAATATCATCAGCAAGATACCTGCCTACTATCATAGTCCTCTCATGAAAGTAGAAGTTCTCGGTCTCGTAGTAGCTTACGGCCGAATTGGCGCAAGCCGTGAAGAAAGCGCGAATGGTATTTGGGTAATGGAAGTTCGTGTTTTTGAGGACAATGCGGTGGATCGTGGAGGAGTGTACGTTGATGATCCTCGCGAGTGTAGGTGCAGTAGTGCTCGTAACGAGTCCGTTGATATGGAGCGAACGTAGGCGGAATGGAGGACTGCCGCCCAGTAGCTGGAGCAGAGGAGCCCAACTCTCATTGCGATTCTGATACTTATCGATACCCTGATCGCCAACAGACAAAGCCAATGCTTGGAGATTTGCATTGGTATTGATAAGCTTGACGAGGGCTAACATGTATGCATCAGTCTTCAAGGTGGCCATGTCGAGTTCCAGGTTCAATGACGTTAAGCCACGTAAGGCAGGTGAAATCGCCTCGAAGAGCGACTTTGGAGTCCCCAGTAGCCAAGTCTGCCACTTCAACCCGAACCCTACAACCCTGAACTCTTCAAGCTGCTGTGGCGCAAGTCGTATGGTGTCTACCAGAGCATGCATGACTCTGTATATGGGAAGCGCATGCATGATATGGGTGTGTTTTGGTGGATAGGGTCTCGACAATTCGGGACGGAACCCCATAATACCCATTGCCAAAGGATTGGATGTTGAAATCACGGGGTAGCACAATTTGTCAGCCATCCCTTCCAGCTTGGGAGGTGCGCGAAGCGTGATACTCTTCAGATTCGGTAGACGCCGAAAGATAGCACTGAACAAGTTTCGCACGTCAGATTCGCTGAGCGTGGTTCCAATGCAAGGCGATTTCGTTGTGTCCAAGCTTGGACCGTATCGCAAGCTCTTCGGTAACCGACATTCCAACTCAGAGTATATCTCGAGTGCGCGAATACGGTTGGAAAACCGTAAACGGGACAGGGCCTCGAGACGTTCGACGCTCGTGATAGTGGTTTGACATCTTCGGCTGGAAAACTTCGCTTCGGTCTAAGTAGGGTGATTAGCGACTCATTAACGAGCACCTTGGAGTGAGATAGAGTACAAGCTAGGGAAAGATCGAGCTTTGGGTAAGGGGAAAAGGTACTTACAAGAGCATGATCGATGGCCTGTAATATAGTCCGACTGCCGAGCGCTTGTAGTATGCTCAGAGATTCTTTGTCGAGATTCTCAGCGATCATGCCGATGAGCTCACTAGGTAGGTCTTCCAGACTTCGCCCAACTGGCGGTGATCTGTAGTCCGACATGAACACATCAATGTCGGTGTGATCCATGATAGCCCTGTCCTCGGGCGTAAAGCTGTCCTCGTCCATGTTCGATGATGATATGTGGCTGGAGATGCTCGGGGTGAAAATAGAATGTTGCAGATTTTATGTGTGGGTTCGAGATGAATGGCGGTACGAGTAATGCGAGCGGTGGCTACCATGGTCCTGGCTGACGATAGGAAGGGCTATCTGTGGCACCACCCCATTCAACAAAGGAGCTGAACAGGCGCCCTGCAGCCTACATTAGTGTTGAAACAAGTGTTAGCAAGATCGTAATGCAACGTAGGCATCCTAGGTTGTTTCCTTCTATCTTTTTTGTAGACGGGTGTCCAATTTTCCCTATCAAACGGATGGCATAGAGCGGTACTGCTTCCCTGGTCCACAAAGGAGGAGACCCTTCCGGTCACTACATCCGATTCTTGGTTGACCATATACAGTCGGGATTTCGAGGGCGTTATGTTCGTCATGGCTTTCTACGCGGATGTGCGCGCGCATCGTGTACGGCGCAGTCGAGTTGGAAGAGGAGAGCATAGGGTGCTAGGTGATCATGGTGCTCTCAGTGCTCGAGTTGTGATGGAAAGTGCAATAGTAGGTACCAGACAAAGTACATTGCGATGAAGCGCATCGTGATTTTGGTGTCGACATGTTCAGAGACGTCGATGATGCCCAGGTGCGTTCGGCGCTACTGCGTAGCTAAGCATCGCGTCGCGTCGCGTCCGGGGTTCGGCACAACACCTGCCGCAAGCTCCTTGCCTGCCGCCTCACGTGCGCATCCGGCACCATGCCCACAGATGCTGGCCCATCCTTCCGTGCATCAGTGCGAGAGACTTGCATGTCTTCGGGGGTGAAATGCCCACGAAGCTGCAAACTTTACCCGGCTGTCTATGCCCCACCCCCGCGATGTGGGGTTAGGCGTTGCGCGCATGCAACCCTCCGAGGATGGCTACTTTCAATGCTGCTGGCGGCGATGCCTGTTGATTAGCAAGCTCTGATTCATGTGTTTGTTCATTGGTCGCTTCATAACAGGCGCGTCGTGCGAGCTGCAATGCATCCCTTGGTCTCAACTGTTGCTTAGAGCAATCTTCTTCTGAGCAGCCTTTCCAGTGCACACGATCAATACAGCGGAAGGCATGGCGATAGAGCAAATCTTTGAGGCCTTGCCTCTACATTATTTGCAGCATGGCATCTCCAAGTTTGGCGCTGGCAATGTCGCCTTGGCAGTCTTCTTGACTGCAGTCCTAGGTGTACTTGCAGACTATGCTTGGATGCTGTACATGAGATCGAAGATGGTAAGAGCGACACACTATATCCGATGATGGTACTAACGTTGCATAGCCCCCAGGGCCCTTCCCATACCCCATCGTTGGCAACACGTTCCAGCTGCCTGACAACAAGCCCTGGATTTTCTTCGAGGAGCTATCCAAGAAATACAACACGCCGCTGATAACGTATTGGATCGGACGTAACCCAACCGTTTGGATCAACGATGCATGGACCGCAAATGAACTACTCGACAAAAGAGCTGGCATATACTGCTCGCGCCCGCGCATGCTTGTCTTTGCCGAACTCGGATCTGGCCAAAACAACCTCGTGAACCTGATCACTACTACGCAGGCGCAGCGGGAGCGGTTCCGGATGCTACGCAAGGTGACGCATCAGGGCGTTGGCATCCAGCAGGTGAAGAAGTACCGCGACTTCCAAAATGATGAGAGCAAAGTCGTCGCCCTCGACCTCCTGAGCACCCCCGAAAATTACGTCGCACACTTTGAACGCTACGCGACCAGTGTGGTCTCTATCATCGGCTTTGGCAGACGCGTTGCGAGCCACGAAGATCCAATCATCACCGAGGTCATCGCGTTGATGCATCGAGCAGCTGATCTGAACGTACCGGGCAAGACATTCCCTATGCTGATGGAAACCTTTCCGATTCTTGCTCGCGTACCTACAGAATATGCGCCATGGAAGCACGGCATGGGATCGAAGAAGAAGTCATCCCGCGGCCATGACTTCTTTTATTCGCTCGCCAGAGAAGCAAACGAGAAGCCAGGACACGAAGACTGCTATTCAAAGATGTTGTTTCGCGAGCAGGAGAAATACGGTCTCAATCACAAGGAGATTTCGGCGTTAACTGGTAACTTGTTCGGCGCGGGGTCCGACACATCAAGTAGTACGCTCATCACCGCTGTTCTCGCCATGCGAGCGTTCCCAGAAACTATGCAGGCCGCGTGGGAAGAATTAGATCGCGTTGTCGGAGAGGACCGTAGCCCTTCGTTCGAAGACGATGCAAACCTGCCTTATATGCGAGCATTTGTAAAGGAAGTGTTCCGATGGCGATCAGTAGCCATCATTGGTGGACAACCGCACGCTCCAGTTCAGGACGATTACTACAACGGTTATCTGATCCCGCAATCAGCATGGGTACAGGGCAACGTCTGGGCGATACACCATAACGAGCGTGACTTTCCTGAACCCGACCGTTTCAACCCGAACCGCTTCTTGAAGGACCATCCTGATTCGCGACCTTTCCCCGGCGAAAGAGGGTACATGACATTTGGTTGGGGTCGTCGAGTGTGCTCAGGTCAGGCACTTGCCGAGCAGGGCACGTGGCTGACGGTGGCGCGATTGGTATGGGGCTTCAGGATCGAGCCAGCACTAGATGGGAATGGCAAGCCTATCCCGGTCGACATATTTGACTACACGTAAGTTTCCAGTGGAAGGAGACCAGCATGCGAGATACTGACATCTTCAAGCAACGGTTTAAATATGCGACCGCAGCCGTTCAAAGTGAGCCTAAAGCCACGGACCGAGAGGATACGTCAAGCTATCGTAAGAGAGGGCGAACAGGCATTGGCAGACCTCGCGCAATATGAAGGTGAAACAAAGTATCGCATGAGTACATTCCACAAGAAATAGAGCTTGCTATGAGGAGGCTGCGGTGGTGATGAGTTTGGCAGTAGTTAGTGAGCGGACATGTAGACTCGATTAGCCAAGGCGGATTTCGGTCCACCTCTTCTTGACAGGTGCTGTTTCGAACACGACCGATGTCACCCCAGTACCAATTCGTTCCCAATGCGAACCTCGGCACTGAACTACCAAGACATGACATTCTCGCTCATGTCCATATTCGAGATACCATGGCAATCGCAGTACGTATGACTCGAGAAGAAAGCTGGAGAAGTCTTTTCCCGTAGGTATAACATCCACATATGTTGGTGCCGACCCTGTGCGGGTGCTTCCCAGGTCAGACTCAAGACAATAGGTGCGAGAGACATGCGAATGTGGCAGCGGGAGCGGCATGATTCGAGTAATGTAGGCGCTGATGTGGATATATCTGCTCGGTATCTGGGTGGAATCTACGCTGGAACTGTATATTTCTTGGTAGGTGCTCCAATCGATGATCTTCCCAGATTGGAGCTCTAGCTTAACCACGCATGGGGTTTTACTCGTAGTTCGATGTTGTCTCACCATGAACAACATCTTCAACCCTCTCGCCCATCTTACAGTACCGGCCCATCCGGCCCATGACCAGCTGGGAAAGTCAACTCGTAGGTGAGCGAGCGCCTTGAGAACGCTTCAATGCGGTCGAGAACGATCATAGCGTGGTCATGAACGGTTGGGAAGAGGCCTGGGTCGGGTTCGTTAAAGGCGTCGAGCCAAGATCCAGTACTCTCCTCGCCACGGCGCCAGAACATATCTTCGCGAGCCATCCAGCCTTCCATTCGAAACCTTTCCTGGCATTCAAAGTACAGTTGCGTGTCAGTGAAGACAAGGCGCCTAGTCGGAAGCAAACCCTCTTGATATGTCCAACCTCTTGTACTCCATGTCGTGCTCTCTAAGGTGTCGCTACAGAAGATGGGAGTGGAATCGAGTGTTCGATGCCCAATGTGGACAGGTTGATTTACTTTGCGTCGCCGGCTAACACCTGGCAGTCCGTAATTACCATCAGATCCGGCCGCTGCGATGATTGTCAAGACAGATCCTGCGTAGATCTTATCCATCTGTTTGAGCTGTCGATGAAAGTCTTCCGAAGACTTCCCCAAACAATACATATCGACCCACAGGTAGTCATACCCAAGCATGAGCGTGACTTTGATGGCATCCTCGATAGTTTTAGGTAAATTGGACGATAAAACGTCAGGCTCCAATGGTTCAACGCCTGCTTGCTGATCATCCGGCTTGCCCCACACATAGCTCAATGTCACATACGATCCGCTTTGTGGTAGTTTTCCAACCAAGCGACTTCTGCAGTCGATAACTCTCAGATTGCGTACTTTGGTGTCGTGTTTCGATCCACTCAATATGCGAGGTATATGGCATTTATGCTTCTGTACGCAGGAGGCGATCCACTCGCGGACTTCCGTGTAGTCATCAATCAAAGGCGTGATTGCTCGCAGATTCTGACTGATGGGTCCATCCGGATCGAAGATGATGGAACTGCGGATACCGAGAAGATCGAAGAGACTGTACTCCCCGCGCCGTTCAATACAAAGTATGGGTGCTTCGATCTTTTCGAGAAGAGGGGTTACTGCAACGTGAGATTGCACTGCATTAAGGCTGCACATCGCGCCTTCTGGCACCTGACCCATACTGCCGGATAGGAATCTGCAGAGACTACAAGTTTCTGGCTTCAATCGAGTTATTTTCAAGACGGTTCGGACTGGTACCCCAGGGTTGAATCGAAGTGCATCGTCCAGATCGAAAGCTGCGCACTGCGAACAGTGGTTATTAGGCGGTTCGACCACCATCGGGCTTTGAGGAAGAACAGATAATGCCATGACCGGACAGATCTTCTGGAATTGCAGTCGTTACGCATGAGCTGATCTTGATTTGATTT